GTTAGAGTGGTGACTGCATTCAATTTCGATTTTTTCCAATTCATTTTTCACCGGAAGGTTCACCCGCTCTTATCTATGGAATTTTAGGGTACTATGACTGCATACCTCATCTCCATGCTCCACCTCCATGTCGCCGTCCATGCTAGCTAGTGAAGTTTTGGATTGAGAGATTCCAGATGAATACCTAGACGGCTACAACACTTATTAAATATAATAGTATACTTATAGGAACTCCTCCAGCGAAAAGAAGACCTCAAGCAAGTTATCCTTTTTTCATGATAAATCCCCAAAAGTATAACTCTTATTGCTCTCTTATTGGGAAGGGTTAATCACCGTTCTTACAGGGACGAGACCGCACTCTACATCCTGATAGTGTGCAGCATTATGTTTCTGGATATGCTTGTCCAATTTTTCTTTGTGGACAGGCTTCGCAATCGAGATTTCCCAGCCCCTGGCGTGGTTGCTGAAGAAACGCAGGCAGCGCAGGAAGAACCAGAAAAGAAGGCTGGTCCTAAGAAGAAGGCTCGTCTCGGTCCCAAGTCACCAAAGAAACATGGCCATCATGCCAAGCATCAAAGCAAGAAAAAGGCTAAAGGTAAAAAAGCTAAAAAGGCCACGAAGAAGAAGGCTGGAAAGGGGACCAAAAAGGGTGGCGACGACACAAGCACTATAGACAAGATTATGGACTTATACGGTCCCAGCAATGAATCCGAAGAAGAGAAACCCAGTCTCACTTCTCCTGTTCCGGCTGCTGCTCCTGCTGCTGCTCCTGCTCCTGCTGCTGCTCCTGCTCCTGCTGCTGCTCCTGCTCCAGCTCCAGCTGCTGCCCCAGCTCCGGCTTCGGCTCCTTCGCCTGAACCTGCTCTTGCGGCTCCTGCTGTCGGGAAACTTCCAGATTTAGGTGCTTCGCCGAATGACCTAGCGAAGCAAAAAGTTGTTGATTGGTATTTAGTGCACCTGTAAGTGTTGGATTCTGAAAAAAAGCATTCTTGTAACTGTTTGACTTTAATTAAAAGTTTTTTTGGTCATACTGAACTCAACTTCTATCGAACTCATAAGACAGAATGTTCCTGAAATCGAAGTAACTCCATAGATTGCTACTGTACCATACATTTTGCCCAAGAACACAGTTTAGTTGGTACTTTCGTACTGTAATTGGGCGGCCCTGATCATATAAGACAGCGCAAACAGTTGGACTCTTTCTTCCATACCCCTTTTGAAATGGTTGTGAGGTGGGATCTGGTAGTCTTGACTGTTTCAATCAATACCGATCAAAATTATTGGTTTCAATCGAAGGCGATCAATGAGTATCTGCATCATAGCGGCCTAACACTGATCAGTACTTTATTGCTCATTCAATACGGTAGACGTTTCATCATCTCAATATTTCATCATCGCTTGGCGTGTCGGTCTGTCAGATCGTTTGCGTGCCCTTTGTCATCAAGTCACGGTTGTTAGAAGTAGGCCCCTACATGAAACCGAAAGAGAAGAGTACGATAGCCACTCGGCTTAATGAGATAGTAGTAGTAATACCCCTCGCTATCATACCCCACTACCACCTGCACCAGTTACTTTATCGGGTTCTTCCACTGCGCCTGGGAATAGGCGTGCGCGAGCAATCAACGTGGGCAATGATGGAAGTGAGATGTGAAATGGAGCGTTGGTGAATGTAATGAAGCAATGAATTCCACGGTATCATTCCAATTATTACGATTAGTCGACCATTTTCATTAGTTTATGACGGCAGTGCAGTACCAGGACGTACAGCATTACTGGATATCAGCATAAAAGTAAAGCTTTGGGGCGTTGACCACTTACGTCGACCCATATATATATATATATATATATATATATATATATATGAATAATATCACTTACCATATATACGATGCCTTACGGCGGCCAATCGTTGTACAAGTTAGTGCTTCCACCCTCCCAGACGGATATGATTTTCCACCCTGCAACTGACCAAACCCGGAGGGATGGATGGCTTGGTTGGCCTGGGCGGATATTGCTACGGGGTTCAAACCCGTGACGTATGAGGTCACAACTTGCCACTGCACCATCTACGCCCGGATATCAGCATAAAGGATAAAGGATAACGTTTTTAGCGTTATTCAATCACGTCTGAGGAATGCGCCCCCGCACTCGACTTTCAGCTGACCCCCCTTCCCCCGGATATCAGCATACTTAGGATAAATGTAAAATACTAGGAAAACTCGATTGCTACAAGTGAAACCCTACTGAGTAGAAGAACTTCCCATATGGTTGATCCGTCTTTCAGCGGTCTGAAGGGCGATGATGCTGAGCATGAGAATGGACGTCAAAAATCGGGAAAACATTGAAGTATCGGGACCAAAGCAAAGTGTAGTGCAACCCCAATAAGCTCTTTCGACTATAACGGCCAGGCATTAATATTGTGTAGAACGAATAGGGCATGACACCGAAAGTCGTACATACCGTATGGAATGAAGTAAAACTGTCATTGAACAGAACTACAGCAAATTCGCTCGTAGAATTTTTTCTGATCAAGAATAACAAAGCAACACCAGTATCGCTCATCCTTGCTGGCTCGTAACACTCGCTGAGTGATTGTTACTTAGTTAGCTGAGGTACTTGCTCACTAATATACCCTGATTTTTCCTCTAACTTTGCTCGCTTGTAATTACTTTCTATGCTTACCTATATTACTTAGAATTAAGAATGATTCCTAAGAAATGCTTTGGCCTTTCTCCATTCCATTCAGTGGCTATGGATGTTGAACAGTTCACAGAAGACAACTACATTGATAGCTGCATCACCGGTAAAAAATCCCCCTGCAAGATCCCTCCACTGCCCTAACAAATATTCACAATCAGCGGAATTCTTCCAGCTAAAAATCGCCTACGCCTATCGGAAAATTCAGACCGCGCGTGTATCCTATCTGAACCCCCGATTTCCAAAGACATTGGGCATAATGTGCTTACTTACTTCTCTTCAATGGTGGCTAATGGTGATTTTTACCTGAGAGGATATTACTTGAATCCATTAGCTGAATATGAAACTTCTAAGTCCTTACCAGATTCAGAAACGGATAGCTTGTCATTGGTACTAAAACCTAAGGGATAGCCAACAGAAGCCACATTTTTTGAATGCGAGAGATTTTTTTCGGCAACACGGCAGCAATATTGAGCCTTTGCCTGTCGTCTGGAAGCCTACACAGCCTGCAATCAGCGATGTCGGGGCTTTACTCAGCCCAACAGACCGTTGAACACTACTACCAACCACAGGATTATTAAACTTTTCCAGCCGCTTCCTAGGGTATCAAGGGAAATGATTACATAAGGACTCAGTGGCGATGCATTTACCTTAAATGAGAGTACCCATCAATAGCCTGTTTAACTTTCCCACTGGTAAAACCATCGTGGAAATTCCATGGTCTTTTAATTGAACTTTGAACTCTCATCTGACACACAGTCACATAGTTGACCTAACATGCGAATACGCAACGGAGCAGTACAGTGATAAAATTTAATTTATCGTGCATTTACCCAACCTGTAGATACAACATTCATAACGAAGCGATTTTACAATCTCGAACCTATCCTATCTGCATAACAATTAACAGGGAAGAAAAATATACAAACGGAACTGATAGAAGGCGCTTTTACTGTGTAAGGCCACCAAATTGCTTATGGTTAGCGAATGTTGACCCAATGAGTCCCAGCACGCCCCATAAAGCGAATGTGCAAATGTGCTCAAAACCGAGTGATATACATTTCCTATCCCCGGTTTCACACAAGCAGTGCACAAAAGCATGGAAGCGATGAAATCAACTCAACAATGAAATAGCCCTCTAGTAGCGCAAATCCACAACAGAATTTCGTTTTCATCAATTTTGAGACCCAGCTTACGGGAGAACTCTTATCTTTTCTAATGGCCCAACTCAACCATCACAAGGATGCGTGGCCAGCAGTCAGCCGATGAAAAACCAGGTGAATTCCTTGGAAAGCAGTGACTTGAGCGACCTCGTCTATTCAAAAAATTTGGAGCGATCTAGATGGCAAATGCGACTATTCGTCATAAAGACAATGGTTTGGTGGCCCACCTAATATTCCGGCTTCACTGCAATTGGCCGCAACTACTCCATACGCTATCCCAGATACTCCAGCCCAATACTTTCGCAATTCTTCAACTATATAATCATCTCTTCCACCAGACCTACCTTTTCATACATACCCTTCGTTAACAAGCTAAACACACGACCAGGCCACATTCTCCGCACACTAGAAAAGCTAGACATCGCAATGGTAATAATGTTTCTTTCTATGGATTTCTTGATGTTAAAACACATCTATATGGGAAAATGCTCAAAGAGGAAAACTTAACAAAACGAAGATAACATACAGCAACAACAGTCTATATCAGATTGTGGTTCCACCTCCACTTGCCAGTCATGTACTTTGGTGCTTGCAATAGTGCCGTACATGGATGTTGCCCTTGCACCTCACACATGCACTGGAATCGATCAAAGTATACGATTACAAATCTAATAAAAAAGTTTCCGACTCCGACGAATAGCCCAAATCAGAAGAATTACAAACAATAGTACCTGTCTTTTGCACTTTGAACCAAAATCGGCAGGGTTCAGCTTTGCGATCTCCATCAACTCCTCCCTTTTCTTTACAAGCTCTGTTTTCCCTAATGTGGTAGCAAGACGAGTTTCAATTTCTTCACGACTTAAGCCTTCCAAGTCGAACAATACCTCACGACCGTCTTCTGCAAATGCATCGAAAAAAGGCAATATTTTACAAAACGACAAAATATTTATTTATTTTACAAAATGTTGAGGTGATGAGGAATTAATCATACTCAGTGAAGTGTCGATAATATGACCTTGCACAGTGCTTCGTTTACCGATCGCGTCAAAAATTTCAAAATGATCATTTCTTAAATTGCGCCAAAATCTCCACGCACAACAGATTTCACAGAGCGTTCGAGTCTCGACAAGAAGTAGATGGCAAACTACGAACACCCCGTGGTATTATAGTCTGAATAATAGTTAAGGTGTCTACGACAGAAAACCTCAAGAAAAACAAATGGAAAAATACTCACTCAAGTACGCCCTCGCAAACGGAGTAATGACGGTGTCAATGTGCTTGACGAGCTGTACCTTTGGATTTTTGAATTGAAGTTGAGCCCAATGCCAGAACACAAATTCTCGAGCTCCTCGTTGCTCTTCATTAGGCCGCCTATGGAAGCCCATAGCGAATACCTAAAGCTGAGCAAATTAAAAAGTATCCAGTTCCACATAAACAAAATTAGAACTCCATTACTTTCAAGGCGTCTTTTGCATCCATGTAACTAACGGAAGCACCGGTCAAAAACCCTCATGAAAAAGCTGTTGCCGGACCGAATAATTACTGTTGTTTTATAAAGTGCAAAGAACTAGTACTGAAATGACAGCTTTAATAATAAATACTGTTTCACCTGTACGTCGTCCCTGAATTTGATTTTCCCTTGCTGTAGATAATAAAAAGTCCGCCGAAGCGGCATTGTACCATGCATGAACGGCATCTTGCCTAGAAGTGGCTTTTCAAAAAAAAGGCTGAACAGTTTTCCAATTGTATCAGAAGGAAACGGTATGAAGAACACAAACGGCTAAAGAACCTTTGATATACAGAGAGGCTTTTTTTTTTGAAGAGTATTTATGACACGCTAAAACAACAAAGCACTGCAACTTCGAGAAAATTGTCAAGTAAAATCCATGAGAAACATTCCCTATAACCTTCGCTCGCAAACAACAAAACTTTAGAAGATCAACAGAAATAACAAAAAGGCACGCATCAAAACAAAATAAGTTTTTCTGACTAAAACTCTCGTCAATATTGTCATTCCATTCTAGATTACGCCCAGAGTTCAAGACTAGAGTGGAAACGGTACACTACATCTCATAGTCGATACCAGCAATCAACAAATCTTCACATAACTGAATCTAGCCTCTTCGACCACAGCTCTACATTGTTTGGAAGAGGAGAAGTTGAAGACCCAATCAATACAGATCTGTAAAAGCAATAATTTTTGCAGTAGTTTTAGGGAGGTAGATGTAGGAACTTCAGAATAAATCAATAAATGAAATGATTGGATCGAGACTTCGATCTGTTTCTCGAGAAGGTGCAAGTACTGCAAACTAAGCAAATTTTCTAGGTTTTGTATTTTTTAAATTGGCTAAGCGGTTACTCTCTTGCATCTACAGCATGTTTTGAGCAGTGTTTTTGTCGGGATAATTCTCAGTCTAGGCAGCTACCCAGAGTAACATTAATTTCCCAATTCCCTTTTCATCATATGGTGTCCAATATAGCCACTTAGATTGCTTTGAAAGAGATGAGATCGAAGAGCAGGAGAGATGAGATACTAAAAAGAATTACCTGGCAACAACATCGGCTACACCAAAATTGAACTGCGATCCAAGAGCATCAAACTGTGAAAGAAACCTGCTTGCTTCACGGATAATCTCTTCTTTATACATTTTCCCGGCTAGTACCATGTCTACCTGGAACAAAAAAAGTCGACGGCTAAGTATTCGCTCCTTTATTTAGCAAATATGGATTATGAAGATTTCACCTTCGAAAGCCACACGTGCTGGTGAGCTGCTTGAATTGAGTGGTTGAACGCAAACGAGAAAATACCCAGAGCAGCGCCCAGGAGTTTCCAACTAGTCGTGCGACATTTCAACGAGCAACCGGTGGACACGACAGAAAAGTTTCCTAAAGCTCATGAAATCATAAACAGACTCTCATCTTTTCAGAATGAAGTGTATGAAAACGTTGAGGGAGCGTGTTCCTCTAACAGTGTAAAAAAACCTCCGATAGATGTATTAATCGTGGTGGTCGACGGCTCCTTGCACTCATTAGACACAGCGCCCTTGAAAGCGACATTCCTTTTCAAGCCTACTCTCGATAACGCTTCCACCCATGGTTGATCTTCCGGCATAAACGTAAGCGTGATGTCACCCAAACCTGAACAAGAACAATCCGTTGCAAATATGTCAAATCGCCGAAAAGCAAATGTGAAAGTGAGAAAAACACACTTTGCCTTTCGAACTCCACAAATGATTGTGGGAGACATGCAGTGAGAGATTGTCCAGTTTCAGATGTTGTTTTTTCCTCCTAGATGACTGTGGTTCAAATTTAAAAAAAAAAAATTCAGCAAACCAATTACAACTGGGCTTACATTAATCGTCCACTGTCGATCAGAGGAACCAACAACTGCAGATTTAGCTCCACTCGATGGAGCAGTTCCTACCTATAAAAAGAGGAGTATAAGCAGACTTTTTTTCAACTGAAGTGGCTACACAGATAGAGAGATATTTCACGGATTAGAGAGACATTTCCGATAATAGAAAAACATTCAAGTACTTTTAGAGAAGTAAAACGACACCCGCTTCAGGATCCTACCTTGCTTTTAGCTTCCGCCTTAGCGGCCTTGCGTGCTTCCTTCTTTGCTTCCTTATCCTTCTTGGTGTCATTCTTCGACGCGGCTACGTGGTTTTCAGAAGAAGAAGGAGCACCAGTCACGGGCTCCTTCTTCACCTTCTCTTTTTTCTTCGCACCTACTTCAAGTGCAATGATAATACAAGTACTAGTGGAAGTTACAAGAGTGAACGTACCAGCCTTTTCCATTTCTTTCAGCAAATTATCAAGTGTCGAGCCGAGATTCATAAGAGATTTAATGAGATCATGTTGTTTATGCTCTATTTCCTTTGCTGGATCAAACGTCTCCTCCGGTAAACCATTACACATAGTATCGGCGTTCTTAAACCAGTTATCTTTCTTGTTAGTTCAAAATGTCAGAGATAAAACAGGATGGAGTAACTGCAACTACCTTTCTTACAAAATACGGCATTCGCTAGACTCTGTAACTAAGTGAGCACAAGCAACCGATAGCAATAGCAGTAGCAATACTGCATAGGAACGAAAGATTTTCGAAAAATCATCAAAAGTAAGCACGTTCTGGTATGCTTGATCTAGTCGTTTTCGCATTTGAATTTTTATTAGCCTTACAGCAAGCTATAAAACATCAATGGAGGATTGGCCAACGAACGATATCTATTACTCGCATGGTCAACCCAAAGATGGTGAATCTAATGGAACTAGAACATTGCAGACTCTTGCAGCACGGTTGAGATATTCGGAATAGGGGCAGCGGTAATTATTAATGGGAAATTCTGCCTGTCTGAGTCATCCTAGCACCGGGATGCGCTTTAATGCTCCCTCGAGTTATTCGAGACTCCATCGCTTGATTATGTGATCAGGAGGACGCAAGCGGAAAAGAGGAAAACCGACTCACATTGCAATTAGTAGTGCCGTGGTAACTTGGAATAGTGTACATAATGTCAATAGGTTTGACATCCAAATCAACTGGCACCAATGGGGGAAGTTTGTACATGGAAGACATTGTATTACCTGAAAAGTGTTGAGGTTATCAGAAAGTTCTTACCTGCAAATATCTAAAGCCACACAGAAAGGCAGCAAATTTGGATAGCGAAGCCCATTACAAAAACATTTCTTCAAAATGAGCTTGATTCAATACGATTTTCTACAAATAACTGGTACTTTTTTATGAGCGTGCCAGATAGGAAATAAATTAAGAGAAGATCCTCATCAGTTCAACTCAGCTGAATCACATAATTGTCTCAGTAAAAAGCCATCTGCTACCAACGAAACCAACATTAAAAAAGAATTAAGGAGCAATGAATAAATGAGGAAGGATTAAGGCCGCATTATTTCCTCTGGCACGTCCGTGGCAATTTGCCAAGCCTTCGCGGCGGGAACCCCTGGCGCGTTGCCAAAGCCGTCTGGCCCCGCCCCCATCTCGATCGATAGCTGTGAGGCTGAGCGCGCCGAAACTAAGTATTTAAGTACGGATTCCCGTCGTGCTGTTCATGGAGGCTTTTCATACGAACTGCGGATCTACGTGTATTCTGTCTATTTCTACCGTATTAGCATAACAGCATACTCTAGGATATTTGGCTATTTTTCGCCCTTTTTTGGCTTCTGGAGATTTTTGAACCCCTTTCCCAATGAATGCTGCTAAGTTACAATGAAGTTGAAGTATCATGGTCGTTTTGGAGCCTGATACTTACTACTTCAAAGTAATTTGCAGCACATATGTATGAAGGAATTGTGTGGTAAGTGTTTTAATATTTCTTCTTTGAAAAATACTTGTTCATCATAAAACTCATTTCCATCATTTACTTTATTGCCATGTACATTATTAAATAGTTTTTTTCGGATACATATCACGACATATATTTACAATGCCACTCGATTCGCCGGGCTAACACCGGACTTCCCTCCATCTTTGACAAAGTTTTAGTAATCGGTTAACTCTTCACCTTCTTTGAAACAAATAATATTTTTCTGTACACGAAGTTTGACACAGAGCTAACGGAGCAGTGCAAATTGTATTCAGTGTAACTCGGTGCTTACGCCTTTCATGGAAAGTATCGATCTTCCGCTCTCTTTCTTGAAAATAAATACCCAATGAAGATTCATTTGCCAGGCAACCAAGGCTTCGGGCTGTACTCACAAATCTTTCGAGCGATGATAACACCATAACCATATGGCGTTATCAATGGACGCCGTACTTCACGAAGATATCATTAGTTGGGGATTCAAAACTACTGGCGGTTAGTAGAGTTTTGTCGGAAATGGTGTTGATCAAGGATCCATCATGAGTCACAGACCTTGTTGTGCAGCGGCGTAATCTAATAGCAAGAACTGAACNGTGTAAAGGTTGGAAAGTGAAGGAACTGGTACGTTTCCATTAATTACTATGGAAGTGATTGGTGCTTGTTTGGTTCTAATGACCTCTCCTCATAGTGCTGAAGTTGGTCTTTAAGAAAAGCTCTATAAAAACGGGAACTAGCCCAACTCTCCCGCCCAACGATATTTGAAGACTTTTTACAAACTTCTTAACACAATCCATCTATTCATCTGACATCTGGTATACAAATTTGATTGATTTGTGACATTTTCTCTAGATGCTTCACTTTGTTACTGTTCTCTACAGTTAATTATTTTTTACACAATTAATAGAGGTATAGGAGCAGTACTATAACATTCGAATATTCGCATTTAATTAAGGTCTCTTTGCAATAGGTGCACGATAACTGGATGCGCGTTCCTAAGTTTCCACAACCCTAAAAATGCATTTTGTAGAACATACTAACCTTTTGCTACTTCCTTGAGCGTTTTCAGAGTAAACCCCTCCACTTTGGTAGAGTGCTTTTCCTTGGCAAAAATCCACACACTCTCAAAATTCCAGTTCATCTAATCGAGAAATAGAGCTTCGGATATCAATTTAACACTGTCTTAAAGGCGTAAAATACTGCGCTCCAGCGTCACTTATCTGACCCACGGCGAAAACAAACACTTCCTCTCCCTCCCCTACCCCGGGCGTTATGCATACGGGCCGAAAAGTCGAAGTGCTCGCCGACTATTACGTGACTTTACACACTTCATGGAACTCGTCCGCTGAGAGGTGGGTGTATAGATCGGCTCTTAGTTGGTGTAAGCTTCTACTTAGAGAGTCTTCAATACTGGGCAGATCACGTAATTTTTGGCCACAAAAGAGAAAACAGACCCTCCAGAAAAAGTTCCCTGGGTTTTAAAAGCCCCATGTGATCCTTTAAAAAAGCGCAGTTGGGGCGATGAGGTAGTAGAAGCTTCGGATCATTACCCCTCAGGGAAATCCTTATTGTATTGCTGGGAATCTTGCTAGAAGATATGACCGCTATAATTTCAACGGCTAATAGTTTCGTATTTTCCCTTCTTGTCCATATATTTATAGCAGTACCTGCCCTGGACGGATGAGCTTCAAGTCCTTGATCCAACTCACATTTTCAGACTTCCCAGGCCGAGAGCGGGGATGGATCGAATACAGAAAACCAGATATTTGAGGAAACTGGTATAATTACAAGTCAACACTCTGCTAGAAATTGCTTTAAAATTGATCGAACGGCCAGTTTTTTTTATTTGGGACGACGGCTTTACACTCAAAGGCAGGAGTGTGCTCTGGTATTCCGCCAGAATCAATTGCTTTCCCCTTTCATGTTACAGATATGATTCCCTATGTTTCCCTGTTACTTCTCTACTTCTGGGAGCACTTCCCCACAGTCACCATACCGGAAATGAACCTATCAATGACAGGGAGGAGCCCAGTTTATAACTTGTTTTGACTCAATGTTCTTGTTAAAAGCTGGCATCAAAGAGATCAAGTCAGAACAAGTTATAACTTACAGCTTGACGGATCCTTTCCCATATTGCGCGGCTCGCTCAACACGTTGTACTTCCCAAGCAGAGGGGTCTCGGCAGGGGTAAAGGTAGTGGAGCACGGTGCCCAATAGCACAAGTACGGGTACAACTCCCTTCGGAGGCCGAAGTTTTGCCCATAACTCGTAAACCTTGTGAGGCTCATTTCATAATTTTCGATTTGGTCTTCTTACTACGTTGCAGCCTCGTTTAGCAGAGCAGTCTAATATACTACCCAGTTCCTACCTTCGGAATCAATTAGTGGGAGTTTCGTTATTATGAGCAGGACTCCACTTGGCTGTAACTAGCAAAAAGACTTCACAAATAGGTGCATCAGCCTCCAAACACAAAAACAATTCACCTAATCGAATTATCGTTTCTCGTTCTTTTCAATAGTTCGAATTGATTGTCAATGTCGTTGTTCATCCGGTTCTGTACTCATTCCAGCATTCCAAGTGTAACCGCCAAATCCCACATGAGCAACGGTTAAGAGAGCCAAACTCACACTAATCCACCAGTCTCCCTGCACGTTGAAACGGAAAATATCCCTCTTGAACTTTATCTGGGTTGATTCTCTCTACTGGTAGAATTTTGGCTACCCAACATCAGCTCTTTGTTGGGTGCTACACGGAATCTCTGGGAACTTGCCCATGATCTCGGTCTTACTTGATTTTGGAGTTGGTGTCCGTGTTATTCCTCGAAGCTCATCCGGCTAGAAGGATTATTACTCACCACCTTTCTTTCCACAAGAAGGCCTCTCTACGTCGTCCACTCCGATCGCGACCCGCCCTCTTCCACCATTCTTCTACGTGAGCAACGAGCTTCTGCCCACTGTCTTAGTTTCGAAGTTTCTGTGGAGCAATACTGTTAAGTTCTACACATTTCAATCTTTTGTAGTGGATCCACCAATTCACCCTTTCGACACCCCTAGCTGAAGAAATTAAAGATTGTAATTCAACAACGATATTCAGGGATCCGTCATTAGGATCCTCCTAACTATAAGTCACCAAGAGTTTGTGTTTATAACTATCGAAAATTAACTTTTCTTCTTAACCCTAACACCTTCATACCACATTTTCTCGGGTCTTTTCCTCTTCCTATCGGGCCTTACCGAACCTTTCCACGCTTCATCAACATAGGAGAAGGAATAAAAGGGAGTGCTCGTAATGTTACCTCTAGTCCTGAGGCTACAGGCGATCCCATTCGTGCAAGTATGGGTGCTGATATTTCGCGGACTGTACAAATACTGTCGGATATTACTTCTTTCGCCATCCTGTTTACTCAGATGCATAATGGCAGAAAGACAAAACGATCCAAAGTTCCTATCTTGATCGCTCTACTGCTTCTTACTACGCAAGTAATACTAATTATTATAATACCAGTAACGGGTAGGTGTACGAATAATAAAAGGACTACCGTAAGAATTTCGGGCCGCATTCAATTTTTCCCCACGGTTCCGCCCACCTTAGTGGTAACTCTTTCCAGTCTTGTTTGTGGAGCACAGCATATGATTTTTGTGCTAATTCCAGCTAGAACCGTTCAAAAAGTTCGTTACCGACGAAAAACAGCTTCAGCGCGAGTGTAGACGGCGAGCGGGCGCCCGCACTCAGTGTTGATTGCCGATGTACTTGACAGCTGCCCTGCCGTTCGGCTGATGGACGAGTTTTTCTTATTGATGCTTTTGCTGCAATTGAAAGTGCTGATGCATTATTTGCCATTAGATAACGTCCACGAACTATATGAGTGGTTTATGTTGCTCCAAGTTATCATCAGGGTTTTTATTTGAATTTACCGAGTAACTCAATTGCAGTTTGTGTTACATCTTTCTGTTAGGTTTTGATAATGAAACTTGCAGCACTTGGCAATAACCACCGATGCTTTCAACTCGTGCTGTCACTGCATCGGTACGATGTCTTACAACAGCGCCACATTCTTCAACGTAAGTTTCCAGTTGTTTTGTTTATGCATAACTTCTTTTTTCAAAATTTAGGTTTATTTCAATTTTGTTTCTTTTCCTACCTTTCATGGGCTCATTTAAGTGGCTTATGTGGCCCGGCAGTACGATTGCTCATGTTACAATATGGAGTTAATGAAAAAGATGTGAAAGGGACAGGACCAAAAAGTAATATTCTGAAAAGGTACGTTTTGCGGTTAAAATGAACCACCCTTCATTTATGTTTCTAATTGTTTTTGAGTTCGTATGTCAATTTACAAACTTTTTTTTTCAATGGAAGTGAAATTCTTCGAGCAAATATATCACCACTCTAACTTTTTGTAAGGGTTTTTACAAGTTTCCAGCGGCTCAATCCTTAAACGAAGTTCGATTCTGCCCTGCTACACGAGCTGCAGTGATTGTGAAAAATCGATGATTGACGTGGCTTTCGGACCAGCATTGTTTTATTTCGTATTTTCCAGTGATGTTCTCGAATTTGTCAAGAAAAGTGGTTTGAAACCCGTGGTTGTTACTGTTGCTCCTCCTCCTGAACCAGCTGCACGTGCTCCACCATCCAAACCGGCTGAAGCCCAGAAACCCTCGACAAAGGTTCGTTCGTTTTTCATTTTGTTGGCTGTGCTATTTTCCGCTTCAGACACTGATACAACCACAATTTTAAGTGTTGAGTTGCGGAAAATGCGTTAGTTTTGAATGGGACTTCAATAAAAATTTCACCCAAAGTGCATGAAAACTGGTGCTGCTTCCAAGCAGGGCCACAACTGAACATCTTTGGTTGTAGGATTGTTCACGTTCTTTTTAATACTTTTTGAAAAGAAACTCCCCAATATGCACATCCCAGTTCCTCATCAATTTTCCTAACTATGTACCTCGCTATCTTCCTTTTTACAGCCGATCGGATCTGTTCGCCATGTTGAGAAGTTCGTTGACCTTCCACTTTCCAATGAACGCGCCACTGTTGCACAGAAACTAGTCCAGTCAAAGGTATCATGTTAAGTACATCAATTCAATTCTTTTTCCGTGCACGATTGTTTCATTTCTTCTGAATGCCTCTTTTGTAATTCCTCTCCCTTCAATATGACGTGCTCCAGTTCTTTAGCAATCGATTCCTCACGGATATCAGTCGGCCACGGTCCAAGCAGACGCTATAATGGCTATTCAGGCAGAATTGAAGGAGAAGGGTGTTGATGTGTCATTCAACGATTTTGTCATCAAAGCAGCAGCACTCGCCCTCCGGGTATGGTTTGTCCATTCTTTTTTTTTCTGATTTGTCTTAGATGCCTTTGCTTCTTTGAAAAAGCTCGGGTAAAGTTTATGCAGCGCTCTTTTGCAGGCCGTGCCCGAGGTAAATGTGCAGTATACTCCTGAACAGGTATCTTTCCTCCCAATGGTCGACATTTCTGTTGCATTTGGGCTCAAAAACTTCGTAGTGAAGTCAGCCGACATACTTGGTGTTCAAGATATATCCGTCAGAGTGAAGGTGAATAGGCAGTTTTTGAAAATAGCCTTTACTTCATGTGAATCGTAAATAATCTAGGATATGGCTACCCGTGCAAGCGAAAATAAGCTACAGCCCAACGAGTCCCAAGGAGGATCGTTCACGTTCGTTTGTTCATTCGATATTCTGTTGATGGTAATCACCACTGATAGTTAACAAGATTATGGATTCCAGAATTTCATATTTGGGCATGTTCGACAGCGTGGAGCAGTTCACAGCTATCATCACTCCACCACAAGCAGCAATTCTCACCGTTGGAGGAACTAGAATGGAGTTGGATGAGGAATTCAAACCGCGACATAGGTTAGGGCTGTTCTGTATCTTTTTATATGAAACTGTTTTTGAAGTTGCTCCCAATAATAGAGCTCATATCTGATTTGAGTTGCTGCCTTACTCCTTTCTTTCAAAAAAAAAATCGTTTTTGTGATTTTATGGACGACAGCGCTTTTTCCTCTTTCTGAATGTTTTTAATATTTATTCTGTCCAAAAGTTTGCTTCGATTCTTGAGCTGAAAGAGAATAATATAATATGTAAAACTAAGCGAGTTATAGCTTTGTCTTCAAAGCCCATGGGGCAGAGTCGTTATAGAACCACGTTTAGGTTCACAGCTACGCTGTGCTTCGATGCTAGAGCAATAACGGAAACTTCCGCACGACTCTTTTTGGATCATTTTGCCGCTTCACTGTCGGATCCGGACTTCATGGTTGCTGAACCGATCAGTCCTGAACTGAACTTTGATTTTGCTCGTCTTCTTTAGTTTCTATTTTCCTTGGAAAATTCTCTCCAATCCGGTGTTGAATTGTAGTTAGTTGTTTTCGTGTAGATTCTAATAATATACTTTGTTCGAGTACTGAGTCTTAGGGATTTGAAATAGTGACGAAAATGTGCAAAAGAGCATCCGGTATTGTAAATACTTTGCTTTATGACTAAGTGTGTCATTAGAAGCTATTAGATGATAGACTAATAAAATTTAGAGTATTGTTTGGAGAAATCGGTATCGTGGTGGTGAAGAACCGAAAACTATTTGCTGCAGCCAGACTAAATATAAACATACAATCACATAATTTACATTTGCCAGAAAGTTAGTCTCCAGAGCCAGAGACCGTACAGCGCCTTATTATTACCATTAACTGAAAGTCTGCTCAGAAAGTTTTTGAGAAGGTTGGTTGATGCAATTTTGTGAGCTGTGGAATGAGTGCGGAAATGTGAGGTATAGGAGCTTTTTAGCTGCAGATTTCATCTCAGGGGAAATCCCAGTCTTTCTGTGGCTTGAAGTTTGGATACATGAATGTTCAGCAATGTTCTTTTTAGTACAAAATGATAACAACGACTTTTGCTCGTCACGTGAAACCATCCATGCCATCAGTGCTCCGTATTATCGCACGTGAACAGCATTTCTTAGCAAATGTTCCATTAAAGAAACGCGGTGTTGACAAGGTTTCCGCTGACAATCTCAAGGGAAAGGTAATTCCGATTCACTTTCACCGTTTAGTTTTCAAATCGAGATCATTTAGCCTACTACACTTCAAGGATTCTAGGTAGAATTGCTCTCATAGTCTTCTTACACGTTGATGTTATGATTCTTATGGTGGGAGAAAGCTAGTTGGACGAGTCACTGCTCAATTCAAGCGCATTTATAATGACTTTCAGACAGGAATTGGGACCTATAATACAAGCAACATAGAAGGCATTTGATTAGATACAAAATTGACTGGCTTAATGTATGGAGATATCCTCCTCTCCTGTGGGACTTGAGATAAAATTGTATCAGAGGAAATGTTCTGTTGCTCATAAACAACCGTAGATTCAACCAACCCTACCACACCAAATGCAATAACACAATAAAAAGTTTATTCTGATTAAGATTATGAGTTGATGCTCCATATTGATGACCAACTAATGATCCTTTTGGATGGACCTGTGTAGAGCCTTTTCAAGACAGGGAAAAGAGCAGGACAATTGGACAAGCAGGAGAAGAAATTAGGTTGAAGGGCATGACTACAGAGGCGCAATACCAATGTAGTCGTTACACACTAATGGAGGAAGCGGTGCTAGACCGTCGCTGAAGTACAAGATTCGACAGAGACTGAATCAGAAAATTTTACAATAGACTTCCAAAGTGCCTATAAAAATGTTTAAGGTGCTATTGCTCTACTATTCCGCTGGATGGTGCAGATCATGCAGAATGTTCACCCCCAAATTAAAGGTAGAGTTTCTAGTGTTTCACTTCCAATTGGTTCTCACTCACTCTTCCACTGAGCTCCTCTATTGAAAATTCCCTACTGTGCTGTATTACTGGTATTTTTAGAAGTTCTATGAGGAACTAGGAGACGCTGAACGTTCAAATCTTGAAGTTGTCTGGATATCTCGTGATAAAGAGGCTGCGGATCAACTGGAGTATTACGAAAAGGCAATGCCTCCATGGTACTACATACCGTTCGGCGATCCAAATATCCAGTAAGCAGTCGATTGAACTATTTCTACAGCGTCAACCAAATTGTTGGATCTCCTTTTCTACATCATGTTATTCCCCAGATTTTGGATGAAGCAGCAAAAGACAGTTTTTAATAAATTTAAGTAGCTCAGACCTTAAAATTGAAATCAGTTCGTGTATAGTTTAGTTTGAATAAAAAAAGCATTTTAAGAGGGTTTCTGGAGAAATATGGCGTAAAGGTGATTCCGGCGTTGAAGCTGGTCAATGACAAAGGCGAAGTGCTCAGTGAAAGTGCAAGGGCTGACGTGGAGGTGAGTGTTTCCTAAGTTTCGGATGCAAATCTATAGAGCATAAGAAATCAGAAACAAAACCGACGCTGTTGAAGGGTTGTGTAAAGGATGAGGCCACAAAGTGCTACAACAAATGGAAGGGTCTGTACTGAATTCCAATGGATGAGCTTGTTGAAAATTAGCGTCGTAAATAATTGAATATATTAATTAAACTCATGTGTTGTTCTGTAACCAATGTATAAAGCATTTATCTGATGTTCAGGAATGTTGACAAACGGCCTCCTTCAAATTCAAGGATCGTAAAGCGTTAGTGATAGTCAAACCGGCCGTTCGAAAGCATTCCCGAGTGGGAATTTCTGCTAGAATCACTACGTCTAGAAAAGGAGACCGGATGACTTTGGAAGCAAGCAAGCAGTAACATAGAAATGTCGAAATTTGTGCAGGTTTCTAACTGATGCAAGTTAGTAGTATATGTGTCTCCGATCCCACTGCCTTTCGCTTATGCCTATGGGCAATTAAAGCAGCCATTCCAGACACAATGGTGTCCACTTCGATAAAAAGAAAACCTTTATATTGAAAAAACTAAGAATAGAACTCGGTTAATCAAGCTGAACACATTAGCTATAGGTACAGGGATATAGCAAGAGATCGAACTCGTGTAGGGTAGCATTTAAGAGAGTATGAACACGAGAATTAGCGAAAACATGCGATAACTACTATTCACTTCGGCAACAGTTATGAAGAACGTGACAAAGTAAACCTTGCGATGCTCATAGCAGCAGAAATATAAGGGGTATCAGTTCAGTTGTAGTTCGCCACGATATGCTCCTGCTGGGACTTTGGAAGTGTCCACCTGGAAGAGGACCCATGACATCGTAAGGAATTTCAAAAATTGGTATTCAAAATCTATCCATCATAAAATGTTATGACAACATTGACCTATCTGTATACTTGCCACACTATAGATCCGCTAGCAAGCCTACAAAAAAAAACTCACATCATCAAAATATGGATGATGAAGTGCCTTTCGAGATGAGATGCGACGGGCAGGATCGTACACGAGCATTGCCTATAGTAATAATGAACAGATTTCTTTCAAATATATGAGGCGAAAAACCTTTGCTTGAAATAAAAGTGGTAGACAAACTATAGAAAAATAAGTGATACTTACTTCGAGCAAGTCAATAGCGTCATGATCCATGTAGTTTGCCATCTTCTCTGCCAAAGAACTGCCTTTCCATTTAGGGAAGGTTGGTTTGTAGTCTGGAAGCTGGCTAACGCCTGGCCATTCTGCTTCGGTGGGAGTGCCAAGAATTCTAACAGATGCGATTTAGTAATGTTCGAGACCGTTATGATTTACCTATCAAGAGAAAGTGAAGAAATTGAACAAAGCAATCTACATACCTGAACAGACGGAACAACTCGTCAATTTCAGAATCTCCTTGGAACAGCGGCTTCTTGCTGGCCATTTCGGCAAATATGCATCCAATAGACCATATATCAACACCCATGGAATAGCGCTGTGTTCCAAGCAAAATCTCCGGAGCACGGTACCACAGGGTAACAACCTTAAAATAGTTCCGCTCATGCCATTATTCAAAGTCCCAGCGCGCTCTAGGACTTCACAATGTATAAAAATCATGGTCAATGGATATGAAACACACCTCATGAGTGTAAACTCGCACAGGAATTCCAATAGCTCGAGCCAAACCAAAATCGGCCAGCTTTATGGCACCCTTTCCATCAACCAGAAGATTTTGTGGTTTCAAATCACGATGAATCACCCGACGCTGATGAGCAAAACAGGTAGCCTGGCAGATCTGAATGGTGGGTGCGATAGCTCAACGAGAACTGACGGTATGAGACAACATCTTGATGAGAATATCAAAAAAGACACAATCAAGAAATTTTTTGGAAACAATATAAAATCGCGAAAAGATACCTGGAACATGTAGCTTTTACATTCTGCAGGAGGAAGTCGTTTGTCTGCGGGCAGTTGATCCAAATATCTTTTCAGATCCATCGAAAGGAACTCGAAAATCAGATAAAGACGGTTTTCCTGAACAAAGACTCATGAGTATGCAGGAATTTCTGTTTAGGATAGTATCAGAGCTGTGAAAACAAAAAAAATAGAAGCAAAGAAAAAAAATAAGACATAATCTACACTGGAAGAGGACATAAGTTCAAGAAGGCGAAAAAGTATCTCTCATAGCTGCCTTCATTGAGAAGCCTCTCCTATCTGCCCTTTGTGAAACATAAGATCAATCGCCTGATTTTGCAACACTACGATACGCTTTACTGTAATAAAAACATGAGTCACAAGCCGGCAAGCTATTCTTCTTCTCGCCTCGACTTGATCACGAGCGTCACCGCATTTTCACGGGCTTTCATTTTCTCTATAAGCTTACAATTACAGAATATCTTACACCTGTTACTAACCTATATCGCTCTGGGAAATACTTTTGTTTGATATGAACCCTAATTATAATTCCCACCAGGCGGCTACGCACGCTATTGCGCGCGCTAGGGGCTCTAGTCATGAGGGACGGAGCCAAATGAGCTTCTGATTTTCAATATAGACCTTTATCATCCGAGCCTTTCCCTTGACACTTCTGTAGCGGATGTCATTTTTTTGGATTTGAAATGGGGCTGTGTGTGGCCATGGAGAGTACTCCGATGTATACAAATCAAATACCTCTGCAGTCCATGTAGTCGAAGAAACCCTGGGCAGTTTGGGCTGTGTGGGGCCATAAATACTAACTTTGAGAGAACAGTACCCTTGAGTGTTTGTAGGGATCTACATATCACTACAGGGTACCCACTTGTGTGGCCGCGGTTATGGCAAAATTTATTTTATGAGGTCTAAAGTTATTGTAGAGCATTTGCTCTTGTATAGAAGGGACTACCGTGTGTGGAACCATGGACACCAACTTTCAGTGAATTTTTAGTCTAATTTTGAAAGAGTTCAGTGGTATCACCTAGTTGTACACCTATGTGTACTCCTACGTCTTACCACTTTCTTCCCGCACCCCAAAACGTTTCTGAACAGAGTTATGAATTTTTGACCTAAGCTCCGCCCACTATAATTCCAACCCCGCCCACTCCGAGGGCTCGGCCACATTTGTTCTTTTACACATTGACACCTTTTTGCCGCAACCCAGAACGTTTCTGAATAGAGTTATAAATTTTTGATTTAAGCCCCGCCCACTTTAGTGCCAACCCCGCCCACTTCAGGGATTTGACCACATTTATTCTATTACCTCTAACCACTTTTTTCCCGCATTCTAGAACGTTTCCGAACGAAGTTACACTCATTTTTAAAAAATTGTTCTCACCTTAACGCACGCCCCGCCCATTGTGGGCGGGGCTTCGCTAAACTTACGCATGCTCAACACGCATGAGGCCTTGCCCACTCTTTTTATTTTTCCCGGCCTCGATGCCTTCGTTGAATCGAGTTATGAATCTCTGTGGAAAGTACCGCCCACTGCGAGACTGCTCCGCCCACCGCCGGTGAATTGATTTAGTTTAGTTGTTGACCCATCCCTCACCTTTGCACATTTTTTCCCGGCGTCTGGACTGTTATGAGACCGAATGAGAAGAATTAGCCCATGACCCCGCCCAACTCCGGCGCATGCCCCGCCCCTTGGGGGCGGAGCTCCGCTGAGCTCACGTTTGCTCTGTTGGTCCTGCCCTATGCTCGACCCATTTCAAACTTGACCCGACCTCTCCAGGTGTTTCTTCAGATGATCCTGAAATTTGCGACGACAAACAGACAAACAGACAAACAAACAGACACACCAAGGATGTGGTTTATATATGGTAAGGATACCGAATTTTTTTCAGATATGAGGTGGCAAAAGATGGGAGATGAAAGGGGTAGCTCAAAACAGCCCGAAAATCATAAAACCTGTGACAAAGTCTTTTCTCGCACAAGTGAGATGCGATCAAAAACTCCGAAGTCCGAACTCTTTAATTACTTTGCCATTTTACTAGCTTCGAAATCGATTGCTATCATGAGCGCAAGTCTAATCGGGGCTCTGAAGAGTGTGGCTAGAATAGTTCAATCCCAAAGATTTTATTCGGCCAACGTCACATTCCATTATTTAAATTCTGCATTACGCCTTCATCCTTTCCTCGGGCTATTAGCTATTACTACATGAGTTCCCATGTCCTCTTGGGTGTGCTTGAAAGCAGCTATCTCGTTCTACAGTGCAGCCAAGCCTAACTGCACAGAAGAATATGCTCAGGAGAAGTGAAGGTGCTTAAGGGTGGTTTTTTCATCACACTCGTGGACTTCTTTTCTATTCAAAGCACCACGTTCCGCTAGAAGTCATTGAATTGCTCTCAAGTATTCTGGGCAGCACTGCGCAGATGCCCCTTTAAAGAATTGTTATCTGAACTCTTTTGCTTAAAGTATGGGAATGGAGAGGTATGGGTGTTCAGGTTCGCTCGTTCTCTGAAAGGAGGCCTGCATCTTCACATTTCTAAAGAGAATTGGATGTGAAGACCCATGAAATTCGACTTCAAGACAACTCGCGTATAGCGCATTATGAATGGCATGCAATTATTAATGATTTTTTAATTACCTGCATGATGACATCTTCCAAGGCCACTACATTCGGATGGGTTAGCTCCTTCAGCAGCGATATCTCACGGATAGCGGTCGATGGGACACCCTAGAATACGCACATCCAGGAGAACTGCCTTTCCCATATAACGCTTTTCCTCGAACAAAAATAGCAGACCTCATCCTCGCCTTCAAGACGAATTTTTTTCATCGCAACAAGTTTGTTGGTTTTCTTGTGTTTTCCCTTGTACACTACACCATATGTACCTGAAAACTTCCTAGCATTTTTAAAAGCAAATAGAACAAGATTGGGATATCCTAAACTAATCCTAACCCTACTATATCATGCTTTTCAAATCCCCGCTTTCTAAAGTGCACTGTTAAGACCACACATTTACTCCGGCTGATCATGAAGATTTAATCTGTGTATTGCAATGACATCTCGTAAAATGTTACCTTCGCCAATTTTGTCCAATTTGACAAAGTCATCCAAAGAATAGTGCTCTCCTGGAGGTGCCATGATTAACTGAATAAAACAACTAGCTAGGGAGGTATACTAATGTATAATAAGGAAAAACATTGGTCATGTAATGTAGAGACCAAGATGCAGTTATAATAATACAACTCCCTGCAAGGAAATCCAAAAAAGGCAGCGACCCAGAGATCAAGGAAAATCCCGATGTCCAGGGCATTTGAATTTTGAGGGTTACCGCCCAAATAAGGCGCTCCATTCGGGACCACGATTTTCAATGATGATGGATCCTTTAACCTACTTGTAAGTAAAACTTAGCTGTTTAAGGAAGAATTCGAAGTTCTGTCCACATGTCTACTTATGGTAGAAGAGATATTCTGAAATAGAGGGTTGAGCCTATCAATGTTTACTTTTTCATTTTTCTCAAAGAATTATTACATGGTTCCTTCACAATACGTGTAGCCGGTGTTGTGATTTGAAATTCTCAAATTAGAAATGGCCCTCGTTTCTTATTTGCAAACGAGAGCAAGTAATACCCATATTCTTAAAAAGATGCTTTTGAATTTTCCGCGTTTAATTGAAAGGCGCGAAAACTGAGGGTTCAAATGTCTGGTTATACGCTGCGCTTGCACTTTCTACTGCCTCACTATTGCTTTGATTTCTTCGTTTGCTTTTCGTGTACTACCACATGTTTTCGATAATGTTAGGTTATTTTCCTGTATATTAAATATATCCTCGCCACTTGAGTCGATAATCGTCCTTTCTGAGGCGTAGTAGGACTCCTTGCTGATCTAACGTTTGTCTCTTGCTTTACTTGATCATCTATGGGAATTACTTTCGTGATAAACATGAATCGGAATGCGTAGTTTAAGTGAGTCCAGCTTCTCGACCGAGATATTGTGATTACGTGATTTAATTATGTATTACGCACCAATTTTTCTTTCTAAGAAGTGGTGTCTTCAACGGCAACAGTTTTGTGTACTAGTATTTGTTTAGAATTATGTTTTTCGTTAGTTCAATGGTAGCTTAATCTGTTTAAATAGACTATACAACCCAGTGGGTTGAAACAAATCGGTTCGGTCTGTAGGGTGATTAAAGGTCCTGTTCTCAAAAGTAATATTCATTTTCGAAAGACCCCCCCCCAGTCTTTAAATCTTTTTAATCTCAAAATAAATGCTATATTGGTGAGGGAGACCAATAATTAGCTTCATAAATGTTTCGGTTTTTTTTTTGCTCAAGTTCCGGCGTTCTGATAGTTGGGCGTATTTTCATTGTCGCCTTTCAGATTTTTCCTCTTCTGCATCTCTGAAAAATAATTTTTCAAAATAAAGTTGAACGATCAGTAGGTTGGTTCTAATTCGCTCATCTTCAATTCGAAACATCACGCGATGTGATCTCAGCGTGTAGTTTTTTTTTTCGTCGAGAATAAGCCGCGCTATTATTTAATCCAATTTTCAATTTGTGCTTGATGATTTACTTCTTTCAAGATCCACCATGGATGACGAGATGGCAACATCTTCAACTAACGATGAGCTGTTTCGATCACCAGCTGCACAACCAAATTATTACGATAAATTCGATTCACCACTTTCTACAAAGCGTGAAAAGGTAGCCTTGATTTTTTTTTATTCCAATGATAGTCGAAATTATTTACGTTCCAAATTAGATGCGTCAAAACTGTGGGCGGAAATCGTGTTCTGCTCCGAGAGCTGTTCGAACCGCTCCACCGTTAAGTCGTATCTATCCAAGACGATTTGCTCTCCAAACGCCACATCAAGTCTCTTTCCGGGGTATCCCGGATGATAACAGTTAGTTGTGTTGATTTAATTTTTTTCTCAGCTCTCAGGAATCCCTCTCATTCTAAAAGTGGAGTCGTGGAAATAAGGGGTTCTTGACCTGCATGGCTGGAAACATCGAAAACCGCGAAAAGGTTTGGAGGAACTAGGACTAGCCAATTTAAGCGATATATCTTGCTATCGCTTTTCGTATAGCACAGTTTCCAAGATCGATGACCATTCAATCTTAGTTGCGAGCTTTGCGCATTCTTACTTCCACGATTCTACTTTTACCCAGTTATGAAGCCTTCTTCTCGGTGGCTTTCGGTTGGCATATTATCTCTTCAAATGCTGTTTTTTACAGTCATTGCTCATAGTCCGATATATAACCCCAGCATTGGGATACCTTATTTCGAGCAGTGCTACACTATTGAAAAGAAACTTGGGCAAGGATCGTTTGGAGAGGTAAGTTTCTTAACCTTTCGTTTTTCCTGCAATTCCTTGATTCCATCGTTCCTCTTTGCCACGGAATAGCAAGTCACACTACATTATCAAAATTTTAAGGCTTATGCCGTATACTGCAAGGAGGATGGTCGGCGATATGCTGTGAAACGAGCATTGGATGCATTCAGAAGTTCAGCGGATCGTACCTTGAAACTACGCGAAGTTCAGAAACATGAGCTTTTACCGAAACACATCAATCTCGTCCAGTTTTACAAGGCGTGGGAGGAAAAGTGAGATATTTCTTCGTATGTATATATTTCAATCTTTTGATATAACCGATTCAGTGGCCGGCTGTACATTTTAACGGAGTTATGTGAAAGAAGCCTACTGGATTACTGCACCGAATTGCATACGATACCGGAACGAGAAATATGGAATATTTTCATTGATCTTTTGAGGGTGGATTTTTTTGTTATGAAATTATTCCTCAAATTTTCCCGAAATTTTACTGTTTTCATTGGGAAATTTTTAATTCTTGTAGGCTGTCGATCATTTGCACAAAAACGACCTTCTTCATGTTGATATAAAGCCAGAGAACATCTTCCTGACAAAGGATAAAGTGTGCAAGCTGGGCGATTTCGGGCTCATATTCGATCTTAAGAATGTTCGTTGTCTTTTGAAATGCATCTTTTTGTCTCTTTATCAATTTAGCTGTTCATCATTTGGTTATCTAGGATACATCGTACACTCCTGAGGAAGGAGATGCAAAATACCTTGCTCCTGAGGTCTTGAACGCGTCTCCTACGAAAGCTGCAGATGTATTCAGTATAGGAATTACCATACTCGAGGTGGGCACAAAATTTTGAGGGTTTGTACGATAGAGGTTGAATCTCCAGTGTATTTCTTCCAGGTGACTACCGATATAGATTTACCTTCACGCGGCGACACCTGGCATCAAATTCGGAGTGGTCATATACCAGACAGATTTTTCAAAGGTGATTATTAGGTGGCTCTGACTGGAGACATCGCATATGGTGATCTGATATATTTTTAGGTGTGTCTAAAGACCTTACTCGTTTAATTAAATGGTTGATGTCTCCTGATCCGGCTTCGCGCCCCACAACGACACAAGCACTCTCAGATTCTGCCATATCTTGTAGAACGCCAGTTCGTTCAGCTTACCTCGCTTATCACCAAGTGGTGAGTTTTCTTGGATCGGATTGAAGCAAAACATAAGCGATATGGTTTCAGATGGTCACAGTTACCGAACACACTAGCAGCGTTCTGCTTTGGTTAGTAGCATTGGCACATCTACTGGCAATTCCGTTCCTAATGTTCTTTGATGCTTTACGGAAAAAGAAAAATGATGTTTGTACAACACCGTACAAGGGAAATGTGTATTTTTCGGTCAGTTTGTTATTATTCTCATGTGAAGTCATAATTGGGTCTTCCTGAATAGTTGAAGAACTTCTTTATGAAAAAAGTATTATGCTCAGAATATTCAGGCGCACACCCCTGAGGTGAATGGATCTATTCGTCATAAGCGAATGTCGCGTTGGGGCGATGAGGACAGTGATACAGGTGAGTACTTCTCAAAAAACAGCTGAGCTCTCCCAGTGGGTAAAAATGCAGTTTTTTGGTTTGATAGCTTCGAGCTCAGCAAGAAGCCTTCATAATCCTTGTTCAACTTCCAGAAAGTCGTTTATCTCGTCATAGCTTTACAACTTTGAGTCGAAGGTTTTTGGAAATGGACGATCTCCGGAGTAATGGTGATCCTTTTCCAAGGTCAGCATTTTGTTGTCTGACTTTTGGCATTTATTTTTTTTTCTGTTTGACCGCTTTGCACTCCAAGGACTACATTTTTTTCAGATATCGCCTGAATTTTGATGATGACACGCCGTCGTCCTCAAGCGAAAACACTAGGGCGGTCCACACTCCGACCGAAAACACTACACCGTAAGTAAAGGCTCGCACAGAGACATTGATATTGACTACTTATTTGTTATTGCTTTAGTATGAGCCGTCATTCAAAGTCTGAGAGTAAGGTTGGCAAAGTTGATTCACGAGTGTCAGCTAGTGAAGCTAGCAAGTGGAAGTCGGGATGTTCTGACTGGTCGCCGACAAACAAGCGACGTTTCAATGATTCAGATGATGACTCGGAGCGTTCACCAAAAACTCGCATGTAAGTTTTCTAGGGCATGAAATATGCCTTGATTCAGATTGGCAAATGCATCTACCTCTTTAGGACAATGTCTTGCCCGCCATATCGCCAGCCTTTACGCCTGCGCTGTCGTAATCGTCCTATTCCTCGCCTTGATTTCTCGCGCGTGGATGAATTTCCAGAAGCTTTTTCTTCACCGGCAACAACAACCGATTCCACAGCTTCGTCGCTTTCATCGAATAACCAAACGAGATCGTCATCAAAAGTTTGTAAGCATAATCGCATGGTGAGCTTCTTGGATTTTCATAATAAAAGTAGGAGCGTAAACATATTTTCTGTTCCTTTCTAACTAGTTTTCCTGCCTAAAGGCAATTGTTCTTGATTTTCTATTTTTTTTTAATTTTCAGATATCTAGCACAACTAGTTCAGCCGAAGAAAGTGTCTAAACGCAGTAATCCTGATCTCTTAACCAGTTTGAAAACTGGAATTGTCTCTATTTTACGTATATTACTAATACTGAAATGGTAACAGATGCCTTAAAGCTCGTGGTCATACTTTCTCATCTTTGTGATTACTAACGTGTCTGTTACTGGTAATGGGTGCTTTGATTAAAACGGTGTTTTATTTGCTTGTTTTCAATTTGAACCGTCATTGCATTTATCCTTTATAGAGTTTATAGCTATCTGCTTATATCGAGTAATGTCCTGTCCTATATTCATTCCAGTAATAAGTTCGATTTTTTGGATTTCCGATTCTAATAAGGCTCGGACTGTTATGGTATACCAGCTCGTCTAATTGCATTTTCGAGAAGAATTGTTTTATTCGGTTTGTAGCGTTATGCCAGCAGTATTTGTTTTTTTTTCTACTTTGTCTCGTGGCTCGTGTTTATTTTATATGATATTCTTGTTAATGAAGTAATGGTGTAATAAAATTAAGTTTTTATTGAGTGCAAAGGCAGAGTCGACTTTACTTTGAGGTAAGAGAAGGTTCTAGGCTGCCTTGTGGTTGGGTGGGTTTTCTTATCGTCATTACGCTCGAGGACACAAACAAAAGTATCTCGGCGGAACTACGGAGGCAAATTATTTTGATTAGAATGGTTTATGGGGATATTTTTGATTTTTGATAGGAAATAACAATTCCTGCTTGCAAAGAGAAGGCAGATCATGTGGGACCGGGGAGGATTCCTTTAAGTGTGTTGAATATTCGGAGCCGAAGAGGCGAGCGCGGATCGGGATGTACCGCGCTGGTCGCTTCTTCGAAACCCCATGTAAGTGCACCCTAGTCTCGAGCAGCTAGTCGGGCAATAACGTTATGCAGGTTGGTGCTGAAAGCTTACGAGAGAGAAGCCATAACTCCTCTCTGGCGACTTGTTTCGGAGGAGGATTCCGTTGGCGCGTCTTGCTGCTGATCGAATTTTCGATGGGATCCGCACGCCATACAATTATTTATTTAGACGTATGTATCTTATTTGAAACGAAAATCCTACTATATTTGGCAAAAGTTATTCAACAAGAAAATGGTTTTTCGAACTGCTTGTGGTATTCCTCAGCTTCTTTCTTCTTTTTCTCCTCATGTTCCTTCTTGTCTTTCTCTGGATCAGCTGGCTTTAGTACGACGTTTTCCAACTGTGCAGCGTCCAGTGATGAACATGCGGTGACGCTCTACAAGAGGTCACTTCACCAATGATCTAGAAGCTCCAGTATGGCGACTGGGAAATGGAATGGGACGGGGGGGGGGGGGCAGCGGGAGGCATGCTTTATCATTTTTATTGTGAATGAGTACTGTACGGTAACCTTTAAGGCTATTTTTCTTGGAAGGAGGCAGTATGTTGAACCTGATGCGATCTCAGCGTCAATCGCGATTCACAAACTGCCGGAGTAAACTACCGTAGCTCTGACGAAAGATTGCTACTTCTCAAACCATCTCTGGGTTACCCGGGTTACTTGACACAGGTAAAGGCACTTCCTACTGCCTTCCTTCATCTCAATAGTTTGAGATTACCACACATTATTTTTGAGCCAAAAGCAAAAGCACACCTTGTCCATGATCTCCATTTCTCTGTTTTTCTGTTGTGCATGCGTGAACATACCAGCGTAATGCTGAAAGAGCAACTTTTATGGGAGCTTTAGGCTATAAAGCCCACTTCATCGAAGAAGAAGGTACCAACCGCGTCCCGTTGATTGAGGAATTCAGACTTCTTACTGTCGTCCTCGTCGTTCGAGTGCAATACTGCAACATCACCAGGCGTTGGTGGTTCTGGCTGAAACGAAAACTATGACACTATGACAAAAGCAGGCCCATGGGAAGACCAAACGAGCCGCCGTAAGCCCCCTACACAAATCAGGCCCATTTGAGACCTTCAGAATGATGTTCCATGAATGAAGGAAGAGATGGCGTGGCGGTGTGCTTCTGCTCAGATATCGCTCCGAAGCGCTTGGGCACTAATTGGTAAGTAAGAAAGCGAGGAGGTAAGGTCAGACATTAAGAAAGTGGAATCTCGTAAGTCCATGGTTGAATTCCACGTATTGAAGTGTATTAAGGGTAGCACACCTGGAAAAGATGTCCTTCCGTTCTGGCCCGTGGTTGATAAGTTTCGAGAACATTGGCGACATTGAAATGCGTCCGACGATGACGGGTCAGAGCTTCACCATGAACGAAGTTCCACTATTAAAGTTAGAATGAAAATATTAGTTTCAGCAGAAGAGAGAGTAATGTAAAATGATAAAATGATAATCAGAACGATGTATTCATGATTCCTACGGTACTGTGGGATTACAGTATCGCCAGCCGTTCACTAGCGACTAAAGATTCAGCCCAACGTTTTTCCCACAAGGGTAGCACTGGCTGATTCGACGTCAGATAGGTTTTATGCCGATCAGGAGCAGCAAGTACTAAGGCATCAGCCCGGTTCATACTTGGAAAGTTACGGTGGAGCGTCCTGAGAAGGGACGTCATGTTTGACTCCCTATTCGTCGATAGCTCGGTAATCGGTAGATCACGGCGATAATTGCAAAATCAATAGATTGCACCCATTCGCGTCAGTATCACTGATATCAGGGTGTGGGGCTTCTTCCCCAAGTGGCTTGCCGCCCTCGCCGCATGCGATGGCGCGCAATCGCGTGCAGTGAAGTGCTCTGGTGAATGAATGGTTGCGAAAATAGTTTTCCCCTATTCAACTTCCTATCCGGAAGGTGACTAACCTCATGTGAGAAAACGCAAAGGATAAGAATGAGCAGTTGAGCGATGAGCAACGGAGCATGAACGACGACCCACTGCACTATTAATTGAGCGAGTCCAATAGAGCTCAGCACTAATACGGATACATTGAATCGAGTCCTGAATCTCAACGTCGTTTGCAGAAATACCATTATAGAGGCACTTGTTCAGGCAGACAAGCAATTTACGTGTGGTGCGATGAAGAAACTTCCTTGGATAGTTTCTTGGAAACTTGGCTGCTGCTCGTGCTCATCTGATGGTCAAGAAACCGTCAGAATCGCACTTATACTGGAAACCTCGACTTACAACTGAACCCTACCTCGAAATCTTTTCTACTTTATAGAAGTGATATGACAGTGATCGAAGCCTCTACCGAATCACTATCATTGAATATTGATTTTACGAGCTCATTGATGGCGGTGGCTGGAACCACAATGTCCAATGTCAGAGGGTATCAAGATCAAGCGAAAGCAGCTCATGGATTGGCTAGGTGTCTCAGGTGTGTTGTAGTGGAACTTTCGATGATGATTGAAAAATGTACACCGCTTCCCCATATTCTCCTTCTAGCCGTTGTAAAGCTTTAATTCTTTTCAAAGTCGCCATTTTGCAATGCAAATCACATAGTCGGAATGAGCGTGAGGAATCCCTTCGAACGATCCACAAATCGAGTTACCGCTTCGAAAACTTTGTCCCTGCATTATTATCCCGGATGGTTGGTGACAGAAACTGATGACATCTGATAAGGGTTTACAAGTGGGCAGAGGCATATACCCGGCATCGGATTTCATCCAGCCGACTAAGTTCCCGCAAAAGGGGCAGGTCGTGGGCAATGCTTTCCATATTTTCTAAAGATAGTTAACTGGGAAATTTCGCAGGTTCAGGAATGCTAATTAGTGCGCGAACGCCTAATATGAGTGTGATTATGGGTATTGCGAACGGGACGTAATTTTCGGCTTAAACACCTTGACAACGGCCATGGACAGGAATGACCACTGGCTGTTGCTTCAGACATCATCAATGACCACTAGAGCTGACTGGCTGATATCGATCAGGAATTGCTGGGCATACTCAACTGCTACATCTCCTTTCGAATCATAGCTGAGTGACTGATTGTTTAAATATGGGACAATTTTACTCGATTTTTTTAGTTTTTATGATTTTGTTGCCAATTGGAAGAGAGTGAACCTACCAACCGATGGGGGAACCGAACCCAGCAATCCGATCTTAATCAAAATCTGAAGCCGTTCTTGTTGTTAATGTTTATTTATAAATTGATTGAGCTTAACCGTGGCATGTTGTAGACTTCCCTTTTTATTTCTTGCTGCTTTTCCTTTTAGGTTATTGTTGCCTTTTTGCATGTCATGCACCTTTCTCAGATGTGTCCATTACTCTACTGATCTTACTACTGAAAACAGCTAATATTTTGTAGAATTTCCAGGTACTCCGTCCTGCAATGTCTGGACGACTGGTGTTTGCAACAATTCTGTGTATTCCACTGGTTGCTGCATTCGATTGGGGAGACTTTCATAAAGTAAGAGAGTAACATCAGTTTCTACAATAGAACTGGCGAAAACAGAGGAAGCACAGGCTTTCAGACTTCCTACCCAGTTCCACTTTCTTTACAGCCCAATTCTTAATCTCGGGTCAAATTCTCAGTTCCGATGATAATTCCGGTGAGTATATTCGTAAAAAGGGCAATGTGGTGTTAAACCACTCTTGAAGGAGACGAAAGATTCAGCATGCTTTGCATGAAATCGAGTAAAGCCAGATTCCTCTGAGGTTCTCTACAAGTTGCACAGTAATAGGTAGTAGAACGAGAGCAAAGTATTGATGGTCACAATAGGGGAAGCTGTAATAGTTTGGAGAGCTGTAATAGTAGGCTAGAAAGGGGCCAACAGGCGATATTCCTAAAGCGAAGCCTTTTTTTCATAGTTAAATGTACTAAGCTATTATGTCACTATACTACCAGTTGATCTTTCCAACAAGGTTATTTCAGGTGGCTGTGATCTTCTTCTCATTTTTTGGACCTGCCGTTATCCTTGGCGCCATCGCAGCAATCGCCTACTTCGCTTGCGTACGATCGTGGTAGGGTACCCAACTGTGTAACCCTGAAGTAGCTTAAGAAATATCTTAGTTGAATGGCAAACTTCTACAAACAACGTCATAGTGATCAATATTTTCAGGTATGAATCTTTCCGGGAAGAAGTTCGGGAAACTCATCGATCCTATCATCCATGGCCACCAGGCTCCGCCAAATGGCAGCTACAACAATATGGTAGGATCGACTTTTTCGCAGGCTGCGTCCACCAAATTTAGAGCTGGCATTTGAACTTATTCAGCTTCCCATAATTTAGTTAGAGGCAATGGACCACCACCCGTGAAGCATCTCAAAGCGACTCCGCCACCAATGATCCAGAAGTCAACACCAAGTCCAATACCACCTGGACAACTCTTCTCACCTGCTTCACATCCGAACGGCTCTATTGCACAGGGACCGATTATTTCACCATCTCCACATCACAATACCAAGGTGGGTGATTCTTTTCCCATCAGGAAAAGTGTTTGAGGCGTCAGAAAAATTCAAAAAAAAGTGTTCTAGTATGCTTGTTCCATCACAGAAGAATTCAATTTGTTTGGATATTGAAAATACAGAAGTTAAAGAGATAAGAATAAAGGCTTCTGGCACAATCAACCCCATCTGAGGGAAACGCCCCGCATTCGACATACATTCAAAATCGTAGTGGCGTGTGGATGTGGCCTACAGTATGTGATGAGCCGATGTACAAGATAGTGCTCTCAAACTCCCTGGCGAAACGGATTACAACTGAAGGACGCTGGAGAAGAAGAGAGCTTGGTCATCCTGAATAGGTAGCAGTGGATTTAAACCCCGGACTGAATGTGGAATAAGGAACTATTAGCACTACACGACCTCCGTATAATATTATATTCTTATTCGTGGGAAACACTCAATACTATTTTTATTTATCGATATTCTGAGGTCGTTTGAACTGCGATTATGGATTTCATTTGACAAATGTTAATGAATGCAGTTGCGGAATGATGATGTCTGGCAGAATGAAAAGCGCTTGGAATGCCAATCGATGGCGAAACTAATCGAAATGTTTCTGTTTGCACAGCGTCTTTTGTTGGTTTTCTACACGTTCTTCGCCCTTTGAGGCGCACCTTCTACCCGTATCACACTCACCATTGGCACTTTCAAGTTGCTTAAAGTTAGTTCTAACGAATCACCGTATTACTTCATTTCCGAATTCCCGAGTGGTACCAAACTTATATTTGAGATTTTACATTTTTTTTTGAAACAACCGTATTAGTAGTTTGAAAATCTACTACTTTTGTTCTGCTATACTTTTACTTAGATCTTATTTGGATTCTAAAACCCATTTGTTCACTATGATCCCTACTTGTGCAAAATAATTAAAACTAGTGCTCTGACTTCGTGTTGTCTGGTATAAGGCAGTACGAATGATTCTAGGAAGTTATATGTGCTGAAAGGGAATCAAGTTTACAACCAATTAGATTTCGAGAAGCAAATTTGGAATTGTGGAAAAACTAGCTCCAACCTCCTGTTGGGAAAGTAAGGTTGAAAGCAACCCTGCGGATCCTATCAAAATCACACAAAACTTTTTGAGCTAACGCGGAGACTATCTGCCAAGAACAATTATACTGAGTAATTTGACTTTTGCCCGTGAATAACTTATCAATTATTGATTAACCGATTGCTAATTTTTATGGGCTGGTTCGAATTCGGGTATCTCACGAAAACTGAAAGCTGGAGCGGCTTATCTGCCGCTGTGTAACGCACTGGGTACTGGCTCTCAGTAATGGTCAAAAATTTGAGATTTGCCCAGCCTTCTCATTAAAGAATGCTGTAGAAAGTAGAAACGATCTTTTGATCACATTTCCCTCTCTCCTACAAAAGCTTTCAGTTGGATCCGGTTCAGGAGTCTCAGATGTCATTACAATCACCACCTCCATCGGTTCAGAACAAAATGAATAACTACCGTGAAAAGGTAACACAATAAATCTCGGTCTCATTAGTGGTTCTCATTGATCGCTCAATCCAGTTGGTTTCTCCTCAACCTCTCGAAATTTACTGCGGCCCGTCTTCCACCTATGTACCGTACACGGTCAGTAGTCCACATGAAAGATCAGGTGAGATAATCGATTACTATATTGTATTTACTTTGTTGATTGGATCTCAAGCTAAATTTTCATTCTTTTTACATGAATCCATTTTTATTTGGAATTGCATGAAACACAATATTCAGCGTCTACTCAGCTTGCTTCTCCTAGTTACACATTGATAGAAAGCAGTCATGATAACGGTACAATGAAGGTTCTACCGAGGCCCATGTTCAATGGCAAGTGTTTTAAGTCCTTGTAACTAATTCCTTTTTACAATTGTTTGCAAATTTTTTCTTTAAAAAGACATCTTACCACACATTCACAAAATGAAAGAGTCCGGTAGCTCAAAAGTTGACCTTCTCCTAACAGAAGGGCCGAATTCAGATGAAGCCAGTCACCCCGCCAATCTGTCTGTGGGCGCCATGCACTAAAACTTTGCTCGAAATTGTATAACCAACTCAAGTTCACAAGTTTGACCTAGGCAGGGATCAGCTGAATCAACCAATAATCATGCCATCATGACGAAATATTTAAAAATTGCTTCACCTGAGCATCGCTTGATTCAGATTGTTTCTCCTGAACCGCTTGAAATTCACTACCTTTGGTCCTCCACTTAGATTTGGTCAAAATCAGAAACAAGCCAACTTTACATGTTCCGCCTATGCAGGAATCACCCGAATCAACTTACAGTAGCGCTCAAAAATCTTCGGCAGAATGCTCTTACGCTTTTCCGTTCATAACTTTTTTCTCAGAGGAGCAAATTGCGCGAAATTTTGAAATGTTTAACTGAGGCATATTTCGCAGTATCTCACACTATTTGTTTGTAATACAGCAATATCCACGTAATTACAATAAGATGTTTATGCGGCAGCAGATCTCACTAAAAGCAAAGTTAGGAACGCCTGTAGTTACTCGCACCCTGTGTGCGTTTTTCTTCTCTATTGTGTTCGGCATTAGCACTCGACACCTCAGACATGGCAAAATAGAAGGAAACTCTAGGAGGACCATGATTTCTATTTCCAGTTGATTTTGAATTAGAGCCCTTTGAAATGTCTGGAACATGATTAGATTACAGGTTGATAGTAGTAAATATTCACAATACACCAATGCTGTACATATTGAAATTTCGCATGATTAGATCCAGTAGGAAAGGAGTTACGACTGAAAAGTACAACTGGAGAGGAATTTGGCCGAAGACTTTTGCGCTACTGTACATTCATTTCATTACGACGAATTATTTGGAAATCGCCTCACCTCGGCAGGTTCAAGCCTTCCTAGGTACTTGTATCGGGATGGCAGGGCCGCTTCGGTGTGTGCCACTTTTTTCTTCTTACAAGATATAGTAAAAGTAATTTTTTCCAATGGAGTACCTGGGCCTTCAAAATATTCCCTATCGTTTATCTGCTCAGTTGCTGTTTTCTTCATTATTCTAGACGGTCAAGGGCCCTTCTGCAATATGTTATATCTGCTTAGATTAGCTAATGCTCTTGATTTCATATGATAAAATTGACTTGGTAAAGGGCGGAGCTGGTGATGTAGCAAGTGGCGCACTATCTCGCAGGCACGGTCAGGAGTTCGAATACCGGATCGATATCCGCATAGACCAACCAAGCCTCCATCCCTCCGGGGTCGGTCAACTGGTACCAGACTTGTCTGGGAGGATAGAAGCACTCACTTGCTCATCGGCTGGCCACCGCAAGTCATTGTATAGACCACATACACGCTCATTACGCCACCATGACTCTGAATGGGAGTCGAATACGGGCACATCTCTCAGACGGGATTGCCTGACGCCAAAACTTAACTTCATCTGAACTCGCTTTCGGTCTTTTAAAGTTATCTCATCTACAATTCGTTTTTTATTTTTTTTTTTTGCAATTTTTGGAGATTTTCAAGTTCTCGTTTTTTTGTTAGTGTGAACCAGTCATTTTAGAAGCTGGACAACAGCTTGAAGCGATCACAGTCCGCACAACGACAACCACCAGGCGGACGACGGTACTGAGCCCAATACCGAAACGACCGTACACTGTAGTGTAGCTGCTTACACTTTGCACTCTCTCTTCTGTTACCGTAGTTATGTAGTATAAGCTGATAATCATTCAGAATAATGACCAGAGCAGTTTTACATACAAAATCAACCAAAAAGACTTCCACCGTTACTTTGTTAGGTGCAATTTGAATGTCCCTTTTCTTCACAGTGATTATGGTATTGATAGTTTGCAACTTATGACTCTTACCGTGTAGCTAATCGGTAGGATTCGTGAGGGTCTGCTTTAAGTTAGCAAACTTTCATTTTACCGCTTTTGCAAACATTGGGAGGCCACTAGGATTACTTTGAGGCCAACAACCTACCCTGACCTCTTTCTAGGCGCGCTTTACACTTTTCCGATGTCATTCACCAACGGTCTGGTCAAAGAAGCATTCGTACGTTTTTCCTTTCCTTCCTCGCTAGTGACCGTAGTGAAATCCTTTCTCCTCTTGCAAGAGTAGGTTCATTTTCTTCCCCTCTGACTCTCCTCCGTTATCCTCTTCAGTATTACTTTATGTTCTATGTCTATTATCAGCAGTTCGGAATGTATATAGTCAAATCGCTAATAATCACTAATGATATCAGAAATTAGGAAACAATTTGCTAATGTTTAGTGAACAAAAAAGAAAATTTGGTAGAACATAGTGAAACTCATGACATTGTGGCTAGTTGTTAACTTGCCAAGCTTCGATTGAACTATAAAAATTGTCGTCTCGTGGTCAGCAATATCTGATGGAAATAAATGTTCAA